TGTTACAGCACTACCAAACCCATTAAAACACTAATATTACTGATTTACATGCATTTAATTGGCTAGTGTATGTTAATGTGTCAACGAGGCAGACAAATTTTGTTCCCCTTTGTTAGAAGAAAGCTGAGAGTCTAAAAAAAACAAAGGGACAATTTAAGGCTGACATTTATACAGCTCTAATAGTGCCAGTGCTTGAGGCACATACATCATGAGAAGTTACTACCAAACAGTAAAAGCACAATGAGCAGCAAGAGACTTGTGAATTCTGAGCCCATCTGACAGAAGGATGCAGGGAAAATGGAAAGCAACTTCAAGGGCTCAGCCCTGAATTTGGCAATATCCTCTGTTGTCCATGATCCCTGCAGCAGCCTCTAAAGAAGTCAAGTGTTAACTCAGATCACAAAGAGGGTTTTGGTTTTGCTTTTCAACTCAGCCAGCAGTTCAGCAACCAGAACACCCAGCTGCCCATTTCAATCTGCTCTATTGAATCCAGAAACCTGCTTGGGTTTGTTTTAGTCTGAGTGAATACTACAGAGGTTATAGATTTGATTTCAATTGCTATTAACAGGATGTAAAACAGGACATTAGCCTTTTACTGCAAAACTTTCAGCTCTCGTTGTGTAAGAGGAAGACTCACATTTGATCCATAGGATCATTTTGCATTTCCAAACACTTACCCAGGAAAGAGCTGGGCTGGTGAGCTCTGCTTACTGACAATTCAAGGAAACAGTAGGCTTTATTCCTTCCCATATGCTCTATTCCCATAGAGGTAGAGTTTAAATTTTACCCATCATTCCAGCGCTGCAGTTCAACTCAGGACCTTTTCAAAATCTCCCTCCTTGGGAGATTTAGAACATTGCTGATCTCAATTTCAAGGTAAAACATTAAGAAAGGGACAGGTTTTCCAGTCATCTTTGTAAGAAAGAGAGAATATTATCCCTCCACATCCTTAAGTACAGAAAACAAAGGTGACTGGGGAGGAGGGTTAGCATTTGGGAACACTGATCAAGACAGCTTGTGTATTTTTAAGTGCAGTAATTATCAGTAGTGCTGAAAACACACAGACCCCAGTGATAGGTAATGATGCTGAAGATCATCCAGGTTTGTGTAAAAACACTGAAGCTCCTCGTAGCTAGAGGACCTTTCCTTGTAGAGTTGAAAGATCTAAGATCAAAAGACACCTCAGTTAGACTTCAAAGACAGACATTTAATTTTCAAATTGCAATCTCAATTCACCTGTTTAGTCCCCAGAGGTAACACAGATATGCAGCTGGACTTAAGAGCAGTTATGGAATTTCCAGGGTGCCAAAGCCATCGTTTTCACTTACTGAGAATAAAATTGATCTGCTGAGCTCTGGTAAATCATTCTCTCCTCCTAAGATTGTTTGGACAGTCTAATTTCATACAGTAGGTTCTGCTCTTCAATTTCAGCATGTTCATAACTCTTGCTGACATTTATCACACTTGGATCAAGGGGAATGCTCCCATTGTAGTTCAATTTTCTTTGTGAATTCACATCCCACATTAAAAAATTCCATTTAAAAAGCTCCTCCTGTGCAGTTAACTGATGAGCATCATGAGATGACTATTTTTATTCTTGGATGAGTTTCATGACTATTCAACTATATATTTCTGTAACAGTACAACTCAAAAGAAAATATATTGAAATCAAGAAATTTTCAGGAGTGTTTTAGAGACCAATGCCAAGACAGAGGCCAAGGAAGAAAACCAAGGGAAGAAAAGGAGCTGAAGACAAAGAGAAACAGCTCCATGCCAAGCCAAACACCCATGGAGGGGCAGAAGAGGCATTAAAGCTTTTACAGCCAGTTCAGCTGATGCTCTGGCTTCCAGCCCTGCCCTGGCCTGCCTGGCTCACTGTCCCTGGGACTTGTCCCTCTCTACTTTCAGGTGGCAAAAAGTTAATTAGACATCACCAGAAAACTGATTTTTCAAGAATAATACATAGGCTGCAGCTTCTTCTGCTCTGAGGAAATCAGTATCTAGTGCAGCTTTGCCTACCCAGCAGTCTGACGTGCATCCCACAGACGTGTGCATTTCACCAGAGACCTTTTTGAAAGCACTGTAACCAAATTATTTTCCAGACTTACGTGAGTCATTACAAGCCAGACCTAGGAGTCGGTGAAAATGAAGATAATGTTAGACTATTTAATAAATCAATTAAAAAAAATTTAAAAAATAAGAAATTTCTCATTTTAGAAGAAGAGAGGAAGAATTCCAGGAACTGACAATGGCAGAAAGTAACTGAATAGCCAGGACTTCCCAGAGTGATGATATTTGGGACAACCTTGCTAGTCAAAAGCCTGGAAGAGGTGGGATGTAGTTGGAGCAGACGTCCATAAAAACCTATTTCTGGTTTCCTTGGGTTTTGTAACATCCATTCAATTTCCCAGGTTAAAATCCCACCCTAATTTTAGAGGGTTTGATATTGGAATAGTGAGTTTAGTTCACCTACATTTATTGACTAACATCTTCACAAAGGATATTTCCATAAAAAATGGGCAAGGAAATTCAGATGAGCTTAATTCACTGCATAAGGAATGTTAGTAATTCTATTACAACCTATGAGGTCATTTAGGTACACAATACTTAACTCATTAAGGAACAGTAATCATCATTTGTCCAAGAAAAGACCACAAATGCAGCTCCTCAAATTACTGTCTGCAAAGAGATGAGCTTATTCCTCTTGCTCTCCAGGATACTACATCAACACTGTACTTGGGAAAGCTGGGGGTACCAGGCTGTGGGTACATGATCCCCTGAATTCAGCACCTAACACATTAGTTAAAAAAAATAGATCTAGAAATAGGTCAAGAAACTGTGAAGGAGAAACTGTGGAAGTGTAACAGAACAAAAAAGAAAAGCTTTGGAGACTTCAAAATATTACATCCTTGCAGAAAATGACTTTAAAAATTCTTCACACAGAGACAGTGTGCTATAAATACTGCACTACCTCAATGCAATAAAATTGGTCATTTCTTCTTACCCTACCCCAAAGACACACCCCTGCAGCTAAAAATAATGATATTCAGACTGATGTTTATTAGAAGTAGGCAAAATGTTATGAATTTCATACAGTCTCAGAAGCACTGTGCTGCCTGAGCTTGCTGAATATCGGATGACCTTGAAAGTTCCTGAGTCATGGGCAGCTCAAGCTGCAGCCCAAACAACCATCCTAAATCTTACACATCGTCACGTACTCATTATCTGGGCTTTGTACTTTCCTACCACTGAGGGATTTTTCACATAAATTATACAGGACATGAAGCAAAATGCAATTACATTCTCCAACAGCTCCAAGGCAGATAGATAGCAAAGGCATGCAGCACAGTTCAAGAGTCAGCTTTCAACAAATGTCACCTATTAGGAGGAATCTAAATGAAACATATATCACTAAGCCTCCCACTTCTAAATTATGTCATTATCTCATCACTAGGATAAGCAGTTATAAGGTTACAGCAACTTCAAATAATCAGCTTTCAAACAGATTTCTCAAAGGGACTTTTCATCTTTGCTTTTACACATCACCATTTGGACTTTCACATATACTAGAAAATTCTATTATACTATATTAAATTGAGTTATCCCAATGAAAACATCTCTAGTAAGGTTAACCCAGACACTTAATAATCCATTAGCACCCTCGGTTTTTCAGCATAACAAGTTTTCTCATAATGGCTTTTCAGTCTCAAAAGGAAAAGGCACAGTTATGGAACTTCTGAGTGTTCTGAATTGATGGGATTCAGCTGAACAGTGGGAACACTGCAATGATGAATAAAATCATATTTTTTCCCCTGTCTTCAGTGGTTGGTAAGTCAGCCCCACAGCCTTTGCATTAACAGCTCCTGGCCCAGGTCCTAGGAGACCACATGGAACACTCACATCTTCAAGGGACGATCCTTTCTTAACCCATTTTTTAAAGGGAGGATCTTGGATGTTTTTTGTTGCTTGCATCTGGGGGGCTTTTATGGGTGCTACCCTCAGTGTAAAAGCACTAAAAACCCAACATAAAATGCAGTTTACAAACATTAGGTAAACACTAACAAAATCTTGATACATATATTTCAAATAGTCCTTTCTTCCCAGCAAATACCTTTATCTGCTGCTGAATTAATTATCACTGAGCTTACGGACATCAAGTGTTTGAGGCCAAAAGTTACAAGAAAAGCCTTAAATCATAAAGCAGTGAAGAGACTTTCTTAGTTACTGTGGTAATTATCTGCTTCCTGCCAGCACGCATTAAACACATGCTGGTTTTTGGAAGTTCATCTATTGTGTTCACTGGTCTCATGGTACATTTTATTTCCTCTGTAGGTGGAATGTTTTGAGAAAGCTCTTTAATAGCCAGCATGGGCTTTGCTAAATTAACCCATCTAAGATTTGAGATGTGCTATGAAGATGCATATGAGCAGCCTCTAAGGCTCAGCTCAAGCAAAACAGTTTAAATCTTAATAAGAAAACTATGACTCAAAACCTATCATTAATATTTTGCTTTTTATTATTATTATACAACAAACTAAGTCTGATTTCTTTTTTTTTTCGCTCCCCTTTCTTGTATTTCCTGCTCATGGTATAATCATTAAGTTCTCATTACAGTATTTAATTTTCACACTTTTAAACAACACCATATATTCTTCTCAAGGTTTTGAGATGTGCAGTTCTTCACAATTTAAAAATATTTCTAAGCTGACACCTAAATGCAGAAAATATATCAAAATAATTAAATATTTTTTTAGGCTTAATTAAATGAGTGTGATCTCTGCAACTTGTAAATCATCTTAGCTGTAACTAATACTGATTTGTTTAATTGGGTAACTGGTTTAAATGCTTAAAGGACTAAACTAAACCAGCCCCAAGGTAGGAAGCTATTTAATTCAGCCTGTGCAGACCTTTAGATTTGTATCGTATTTCAAAGCACATAAATGTGAACAAGAAAACAGAACTACTGAAAATATTGGTTTATGGTTTAATTAGTCCTTTCAGGATGTGTACTGTTTTTGAACAGATAACATATCAATAGGAAAGAAAAAGTTATGCAAGTGGTGACATCTGGAAAAAAAAAAAACACACAAAAAGAACACGAGTAAAAGTTGTTATAACAAGTCTTACTTTTTATGAATAAAAGGATTTTCCTTCGAGGCTCCATTTCTATTGTCACACAATGAATCCTCTGCCATCACAAACACAGATGTTCCCTTAACTCTGCACAAATGCCAAAAGCTCTTTGCCTTAATATCCACTCTGGGAGGGCTTCCATGTTAAAGAGAATGTATTAGCATCTTATTAAGCAATGTCCCTGATCTGCTGCTGGTCCTTAGCCTTTCCCTTCTGTGTGGTCCCAGCCAAGCATTGCCCAAGATGAGCCTGGAGGAAGGCAAAGCACTTCATGAGCTGTGTAAGGGGGGAAAAGGGTGAGGACAGCGCCCTGCCCCTGTCTGTACCGTAAATGTATTTTTGTGAAGAATTCAATGCATCCAGGAGCGATCAGCGGGATGAGAACCCCTTCACCTGCATGTGACACGAGGATGAGGGTGCAGTGCTGATGCTGAAGGCAAACTGGAATTGCTGCCCTGAATGAAACGCCCTGGTAATTAATTTCACCATTAGATGCTGCTTCCAGACCTGGGCGGGGGCAAAAACCATTCCCACCCTTATTGCGGCTCCCAGGAGAACTCAGAGGACTTGCAGCATCCCTCCGTGCTGGAGGATGCTGGCAGGCAGGCAGCGCTCGGATTTCTCCCTGCAGAGATCCCACCGCTCCACCGTGTGGCCAAGCTGCTCCCTCCTGCACGGCCGCTCTCAGTTAACGGGTCCCTTTGGGAAACGTGCTGTACCTCCAAGAAAATTCAGATTAACTCTTGGGAAAGAAGCAAAACATCGAAAAGGAGGTGTTCTCAGCTGAAAAAAACACCCCTTCAATTAAATTCTCCAGATACAGTCACACGTATCTGGTTTAATTGCAGAGCATTGGATGGCCATAGATGAACCTGAGAGCACTAAAGTCACAAGAAAACAATATAAAAGGCTAGAAACAGTTAAATCCCCAGTCGAAGTCCGTATCAGAGTTTAAATATCAAAGACCATTCTTTTCATTTGTCAATGAGGTGTGAGCAACTAATTAGGAAAAAAGCCCACCTATATATTATGCAAAATGCTTTTATTATCCTTTTTCCTCGCTGAGATATATAAACTGCACCACTTTTTCACTGAGGGTTGGGTGGTTTTTTCCTTTACTTTTTAATATCAGAAGCATTAAGAATGGAATGCTTTTTACTTTAACTTTTTCGCTTAATTCTTCAGTGAACTTCTTAAGCACTACTTCTTCCATATAGCATAAATATTCAGTGCCACATTAAGTGTTTAATATCTGCAGATGACTAGAAAAAGAAATATTGTTATTAACATTTATCAACAAAACAATAAAAAGAAAGGATATTTAGGCTCCCATTTAGAGAAATAACATCTTCTGCTGAAAGGTGAAGTTCTCATAAGTAATTAGATGTTTTTGATACTAAAGGGAGGCATCTGATTCTAATGAGTAATGTTTCCCAGAAATGTGACTCCATTGTCTAATTTTCATAAAACTAATCTCTTTCTTCTGGTAATGATGAATAAGAAAATCAATGTATTGGAAGTGTCAGAACATAAAACAAGCTCAGAGTGCAGAATGTGTGATTTGTCACGTTCATGGTCCTTTTTGTAGAAGGCAAATGAAACAGTTGAAACAGCACTGATATTTCAACTGCCAGAGCATACTTCTGAAAATTACTTTCTCAGACTATTAGTATAATCCACTGTTTACTTATTGTGAAAAGTCTCCTTGAAAGAAAATTAAGGGGTGGTGCATTCAATGCTGAGTGCTCTGCTCCTCCTGCACACCCAAACCAAACAAATTCTCTAAAACATCAGTTTTTAAGTACCAAGTCCAGACATTTAAGTGTTCTGTTTAAACACAAGGAACTAATCTGATTTTCTTGTAATCTGATTTGAAATTTGTAACATAACCTAAAATGAAGAAACCAAATCAATGAGATTAGGAACCTGTACTTCTTTGAGGAAAAAAAAAACAACCAACAGAGTAATTCCACAGACATGCACAGAAACAAAACAACTGGAATCTGAGATGAATGTAGCTAAACAAGATTCTATCATTTGAGATGACATACACTGATTTCCTGGAACATTTAATGTTATTGTGATTTGCTGCAGATCAGTTAGTAACCAAGAATACCTGAAAGGGAAAGGTTCAAGTCACTGGATCATAAATCTCAATTTTCAGAAGGTGAAGGTTGTCAAGCACCCATTCCTGAAGGTCACATCCTCCCTGTGGCCAGTGCAGCACCTCGCAGGAAATTCTGTAGTGGAAAGAAAAGTCAAGGCATGAAAGCAAAGCCTAAAAGATTTGTCCCCTTATTAGGGGAAGTGTCTGCAAAGTACAACTTGACCTGAAGATTTTCTTTTAGTTACAAACATTTTTGAGAACCCAGGTAGCCACATAAATAATTACTACACCTCTGGAAATTACACTTGTATTTCACTCTCATATCTCATCCCACATCTCAGATATGGTTGTCAACTGCTTAATCAATTTATGGTGCTTTTCACACAAACATAGGTGGTTGTGCTGTTTAATCTTTTTTATGCATCTGTGGGGGATAATAGTCTCTGAGCATTTAAATGAGTGCTACAATAAAGTGTAATTCCCTGATCAAACAGCAAGAAAAGTAGTGGGTTTTTTTTTTTTGTTGTTGTGGTTTTTGATGTTTTGGGGTTTTTTTAATCATTCTCTGTGCTTCAACTGAAGCACAGCTGAGAGAAACACTTCAGTGGGGGACCAAAGCCAGAGAATTTAGAAGGCAACAAAGGCTACAGCTTCTGCAGCTACTCAGCTCTTCACAAAGCCTTTTGCCATGACCTCCCATATATTTAGAACACAGCCACTTGTCACCAAGAAATAATTTCCACTCTGCCCACCAGCCCAAGGAAACAGGGCCATTCAGAACCAAACCTGGGGATTGGAATCCTCCCGTTGTCAGGTGGGTGGTTAAACATGGTCAGCTCACCAGGGAATAGTGGTGGTGAGCCAGCTTGCTAGGGATCTGCAGGAACTTCCCCTAAGGATTCAAAGAAATTGTATTCAGTGTGCTGAACACATTTCTACCTGGCTGGGTGAACAGCCTGTAATACCTTTGTGTCCCAAGCTGCTGGTGAATCACTGGCAGCAGAAAGGGAAGCTTCTCCTGGAATATTTAACAGCACTTCTGGGGCAAAAGGCTGGCTGCTGGCAGTGGGATAAGAATAGTCAAAAGGCATTAATAGTCCTTAGAGAAGAATCCGTGAAGTGAATGTCCTGTACCTCCATTACTTCATCCTGTCAGGACAAATCAGCTTGCTTGGTCTCTGCCTTTCTGTAAGCTGAATAAACAAAACCCTCAGGAAAACAATTGCTAATTCCAATGAAATGAGCAGCCTTTCTTTCACTGATTTGCCAAGCAAAAAACTGCCAAGAAGACATAGAGAGGAAGACAGTCAAACAGTTATGAAAAAAGAAATACCGTCCCCAAGTTGAATTTGGCTGGTTGAGTTGGCAGGATGGGATCAGAAAGGGTATAATCAGAGAGAACAGAATAACAGAATGCATCTGATTTGACTGGAGGAGGAAACAGAAATAGATTGTTCAGCCTTGCAGCCTATTGGTGCTGCTGTCAGCCACAGCCAAGCCTTCCAAGGCTCCTTTGGGAAGTCGTGTGTTCTGCCAGGACACAAGAGATGGAGCTTCAGCATGAAAGGGACCTTTCCTGCTTTGCAGCCAGTGCCCCAGGCTCTGCATGCTCACTCCTGTAGCAAGTCTATGATGATGAGGAAGGGAGAAAACACCCAGGATCTGAATGCAAGTGAGAAATCACCTACCAGTATGTGCAGCCACTACTCACTGGCATGTGCTGTAGGACTCTGCCTACTGTGCCTCAGAAAAAATTCATCGTGACAGGGAAGCAAAGCCAGGAGATGAGCCTGTGCTGCTGCCCAGCTCAGTGTCCCAGCCTGGCTCTCCTGGGTGACCAGGCACAGTGTCCCCACGAGATGGCTGCAGAGGCTGTGGCATCGCAGCGAGCACGCAGAGCCCTCAGCTACAGGGCTCAAAGCACCTCAAATGCATGTGGCTACTGCAAGAATTTCCTCTTTCAAAAATGCAAATCCTTGAGACAAAATATTATTAAAAGTGATTTTTAAAAAAACAGAATTTAATAATTTGCCTGGTTTTTAGTTTTTTGTTTTTTCCCTTCCTGTTTAGCATTTTGTTCTGCTCATTTTTTGGTTATATGTCGAACAAAATTCAAATAATCAGCATCAGATTATTTTTTCTTTCTGCTTTTTTGAAATCAATCTTTTTTTAGGAAGTTCTTTTGAAGTGTCTGCATCTCTGTTTTCTGCAATTAGGCTCTTTGTGTTAATTACACTGATTGCCAAACCTTCCATCTCTCCCATGCTTAGCTGCCATTCACTGCTCCTGTTCACTACGCCACCCATTCCTTTCCATTTTGGATTTTTTGGTAACTGGCCATGCCACTTCCTAGCTTGACACCAGCTGTGGGTCTTAAGCTCCAATTCAGCCAAGGAACATATGTATAATTCTGAACACAAGCTTGAGCAGGAAAAGCTTGGCTGGTCACCTAGCCCTGGAAACTTTGCCCTGACAAGGAAGATCAACAGCACCTAAACAGCAACCTCAGCCAAGGACTGCCACTCCCTCTGAGTGTGAACAGCTGAAATCCAGGCTCTGCCTCATCTGTCTGAAACAGTTTTACCATGGGTAACACAAACACTTTAGCCCAGGGACTTCTACGTGTCCTTATGATAATTGTAATTTTCTGAGGTCTGAAGGACACAGTGCTGATTTTAGCCTGGAAACCTCTTCTGCAATGGGTATTAAATGACAAACAACCCAGAATCCCTTTTTTAGCCTATATCTAATAACAGCCTTAGTTTGGAAAGTCCCACAGAGAAAACCTGCATATGATTTCTCCAAAATCCATCTCTATCCCTCTTTTGGTTGAACCCTGGCTCATTGTCAGGTTTCTCTGCTGTTAAGAATTGTTACACTTGTTCAAAGCCATTAATTATTCCAATATTGAAGCAAACTTCGGCTAAACAGTAAACCAAAGCCTCCCTATTCCTGCCCAGCCCAGCTTTAGGCATGATTACTTACAGATTTACATTCCCATTTTTACCATGAACCCGTTTCTCAGACTGATTCTTCTAAAGTTTAAACAAACAATTGATGCCAGCATGAGCCACAACCTCAGCTTAGAAGCCAACAACCTATTTTATCCTTCAAATGTGCCCAACCATTAACCAATTAAAAAAAAAAAAATCTACCATCACACATATATTTAGTACATTTGGGGCTTTTACATCCTTTTTTTTCTGCCCCAAGAGGGAACAAAATTATTCAGTGCCAGACTTCCATGGACCTTGTTTATCAGGAAAAAAAAAGCTCTGGTCTAAATTTCGACCATGAATAAACCTTCATGGCCTCATCTAAACCCAGTCCCTTAATTTTCATTATTACAGTGTATGCAAAGTATGTGAGTCACACAGATATCCCCTTTGGATAAGGCCACAAAGACTTTGTTCTAAGCCCTGAATGTGCACATTTAACCTTCTGAAATCAATTCACGTGGCCATTACTAGCTGTTGTTTTGTGCTTGTGGATTTGAGGCTTGGCTCTTATTGGAGAGTTTATTGATTAATTTCAACACTGAAAAAGCCTCATTTAGCCAGGGGGACATTTCTGGAGTTCAATTTTTGTAACTGAAAACCAACCATAAGAGTACATTAAAATTATCTAATTTTGAACCTCTGAATGTTTTCATGGGAGCTTGCATATGGACATCTTTCACATTTATTTTTCAAAAAACCCTTTCAGTTATTATGTCATTGAAATTAGACATGTATATAATTTTCCCCCTATTGCTAATTATAGAACCTAAAAGGGATTCTCTTGTAGTTTGCTTACAATTTACAACCTCTAAAACGTGTGACAATTAAGAGAGTTAAGAGACCCTCAAACAAGGTCCAGAACATGCCATGTATAGGCTGAGGTTCTCAAACTGGGCATAAATACATGAGACAAATGCTAAACCAGGCAAAACTGTTTATTTTAGAAAGATCTCATTACTGAAGCAAAAAGGACAGTTAATCACTTTGCTTCTGTTTCCCTGGGAAACTGTTCCATAAATGGCATTTCCCACCAAGAAAAGTTAGCACTTTATTAATATTTTGTTTGATATTAAATCAAATTATGATCATTTGAAGAAAGTAATATAATTGCAATTTAATCTCTCTTCCATTTTCCCTTCTAATTTAATTCAATATGTGATAAGGAGTGTGAAAATCAGAGGGGGTGGATTTTTATATCTATGCTTCTTAGTTGTGAGAAAAGAGTGGGTAGTTGTAAATATTTGTGGAAATTCAAATCTTAAAAAACTAACATGAAAACATGGAACACTTTCATGTGCAATTCATAAATCAGCCTTTGAGGTGAAACAAAGTGCACTGCAACATTCTAAGATTTTTTTGAAGTAGTTATAATTTTTTATCCAAGCTTGGGAACAAAGGAAGCTGCAAAAGAAAGATTTATCAATAAACACACAGATATAAAGATATTGTAACAACACATGAAGGATAAGAAAATATTTACTTCCCCTGCTCAGAAAATGGCTGTTTTCTTCCTTTCACTGAAGTTCTGTGGTGGTTGACTGTAGTTTAAAAAAACCCGCTGAGAAACAATTTTATTTTATATATATATACATACAAACATATATATGTATGTATACATACATAGATATGTGTGTGTGTGTAGGAGTATATATATGTGCATATATATATATATATAAAATACATAACAAGCATTTTCAAAACAGTGATGAAGCCTAAAATTTTTGGAATATTTTAGATTCTGAAGTAGGGTTTCTTTTCCAAATTATGACACATGGATTTTAAAGATTAGTAGTAAATTATTATTTTAATATATTATGAATATAAACGTTACCTTTATACCCATTTGTTTTAAACCATAAACTATCCTGCATGTATTTAATTTTTCTAAGTGTGACATTAATATTAATATATCTGTATATTGTATAAAATTATGGAAATAACTGGAATATTAAGATTACTATGAAATTGTATGCATTCATACCACTTACATCTGATGTCTGAAAGGGCTGTATCAGATATTCTGAGCAGAATAATCAAGTGCTGCAGGCTTTTCTAGTTATCTCTTTTTCCAGATATTACTGTCGTCATTACAAGTGACACAACAAACTAAGCACTGTACAAAAGACAGCTCTTGGACTGAAAATAAATCTTGTCTAGTTGGAAAAAATCATGCCTTGAGAGTAATTCCTTCTCAGGACAGAAATGTAAACTGGCTTCCAGACAACAGCAGTCTCAGGAATTTCAGTCTTGGGGGAATCCTGGCAGGGCAGCAGTGGGTGAGGGTGAGGAGGATGGGATGTCCTCTGCACACTTCTCTCCTCTTCGTGTTGTCCAAGAAAGCCACATCTGTCTCCTCCTCTGGCAGGGACAGCAGTGCTCTAGAGGTGGTTAACCCACAGGATCCAAGAAAAATCTGTACATGAAAAAGAAATGCACTCCATCCCGTATTTGGCTAATTAAGGAGAAAACCGGTCTTAGCAGTTTTGAGAAAATCCAAGACAAATTTAAGCATCTGGTATTTTCCACTCATCTATTCGTTTGGGCTTTCTTGGCATATGAGCTGGATTTTTGGCTGATCTCCACTACAAGCAGAGAAGAGAAGAAGTCAAGAAGTGTCCTCACTTTCCCACCATTCATCTTCACTCTTTTCCAAAAAAGCAGTGATAAGGCCAGAGTAATCTCTGTGGGCATCCCAGGCGTAGTGGAGCATCTGACTTCCTTCTAAAAAACTTATACTATATGCAGTTGCAATAATCTTGACATATTTTCTCCACACATCAAATTACTTGGAGAGTCTTGACGGCTCTTTTGGCAACTCCTTTTCCTGCTGCCTCCTCAGCTACAAAAGGCTGTTTTTCTTGTCAACCCTAGTTGCATTTGCAAAAAAAAAGAAACCACCAGGAAGAGATTGCCAAGAAATCAGCAAAAGAATAAAAATTTCCCCCCTTCCTCTTCAAATATTTTCATGTATCTACATTCTGTACAAATAACTGTATGTTCCCAGGTTTAACCAGGAGTTACACTCATTACTGAAAAAGAAAAATGTTGTGCTATTCATCTTCAAAATGATGGTGTGTGAGAAACATTCAGCCTCTTGACAGAGCTTATTTGACTTCACTTTATCAGGAACATAAGTTGACAACAGCTGGTGACCAAAATAAATAAAAGCTGTTTCTTGCACACGAGGAATACAGGTCTTGCACACATTCCCATTGAACAGTTCAGCTTCAGTCAAGCAAGACTACAGTGAAAGGTAGTTTGGGGTCTCATGTTTAACACCAGAAGAAGAAATCACAGCAATATAAATTACAGTTTGATCTCCAACACAGACAGTTTAATAGGCCATGATTTAGCAAAGCATTTAAGCAAATGTTTAAATCCCATTGATTTAAGTGGGATTTAAGTACATATTAAGTACTTAGTTGAATTGAGGCCATACTGTGAAGGGACTCTTAAAACAAGGAAAGCACAGTAGGCTTTAGGGATCTTTATTTACAGCTCAGATGTTTAACTTTGCAAATTTGGCTTAGGAACCTGTATAATGCAACAAGGAGCCAAGGACAGACTGCAAGAACATTTGGCTGCCCGGGGTCACTTCAGGATAATGCAACATACCAATATGGGATTTAGTTTCTAAAATGCTTTTATCCTGAAATTTACCACATATAATTTATAATTAAGCTGACTTGCCTCAATGTGTCATTCAGCAATTGTATGTACAGATCTCTGATGCTGCCAAATTTCTTGTGCTCTCATTTATTCTTTTCCCATTTTTCCCTCTCACTTTTAACCCCAACCTTCTGGCTGCAGGGTGAGGAGGAGGCACATGGCATTTGTTGTTTGTCAATCAACTCTCACTGCAGAACTAGAAATATAAAAAGCTAAAAGCAACAAGTGTTTCACCCTGGAACATGAAAATGTGTTTTCCCAAGAGGGGATCAAAACAGATATTTCACTTAAAGGAGCTCTGTTAAAATGATAAAATTTCTCCCATAGAAGTATCAAAACTGTGTTGTGTCTATATGGACTTTGCTAAATATTGTAGCTGTAACAAAATATTATATTGACTGTAGGGTGACTTTTAGTTATTTATCTTTTCTTCTTGACCCCAAATCTTATCTGACTCTTATATAACTTATCTAACCCTACTGACACTATTGCAGAAGACTGACCTATTTCTATTTATCTTGCAGAGTAGGAGTTTGCTTTTGGGGACATGAGTAACTCTTGTTGTCAATTTGTTTTTGTTTTTTTTTTTTGGGAATCCAGAGAGCTCTGGAAACAGGAAACAGAACATTATATCATGTCCAAACACTGCATTTTGTAGGGAAATAAAGACTCAAGGATTTATGGAATCACCTAATCATATATTAAAAAATATTACTCTTGAGAGAAGTTCTTATGTAGCAGTATGCCCTCAGATATTAGAAACCTTCTTGGCACTGTTTTTATGGCAGGTCCAAATAACAACACGATCAAATTTTAGACATCTAAAAAAATCTCTTTAATTTCACTGCTTGGGCATTGCTTATTTCTAATAAACATCTAGTTATATAGATAACACTGTAGAAATCAATACTATTCATAATTCCATAAATAAATAATAAAGAGCATTTTCTGTCAGTTAAGAGGGATGAGCAATGTTTTCAAGGCATTTAATTTGCTGTGGGGAAAGTATCCTAGCAAAACTAATCCCTGATTTATAAATTCAATTTTCAGATTTGTGCTGAACGAGTTTGTGATAATGCTGCAAGTAAATCTCAGCCTTTTCTGACTCCTACCAGGTGGTAAATTTTCAGAAAAAATTTTTATTCCAGAGAAGACACAGAAATCCATTTAAAGAACAGCCACTACAACCAAAGTACTTACAAGTACTCACCCAGCTCAAAAGCATCCAAGTGCAAGGCCAGTTTAAGTACATGATAAACTGATTTTCTGTCACTGCGTGCACTTTTCCTGGTAACTAAACCCTGCTAAGGAAGTTGTATCAGCCAGGGAAAATCCTGACCTCTGTGGGTGCCTGTGGAGATGGGCACACAGAGCCCAGCACACAAACCACCAGCCCCACTTGCTCTCACCTGAGTGTGTGCAAAGTACTCTGATTGCATTAGTCAGACTTGCTCTGGATTTCTTAGAACTGTGCTAATCCCAGCTTGAACCCCGGGACACAGCAGTCTCTGAGCTGAGGCCAAATGCATTTCTAATGATTAGCAGATAAATTAGGGAAATACTGAGCCTATTAAAAGGAACATACTCAGGAATGTAATTGGATAGTGAATTAAATCATTCCTTTCACACTGATTAAACCAATAAAACAGGATGATGGTGCGTGCTCTCAAAGTGTATTACCTGACATTTCATCATACAATCTGTCAGAAAACAAAGAAGAAAGAGTCACTAAGCTTTAGCAACAACACTCAGAACATTATGGCTATTGAAAAAACAGTCAGTGTTCCCACTGTAAATACCTCAGAGTAAATTTTTACGCTACCCAATATGTAAATATTTACAATGGAAAGAAACTTAACTTTTCTTCATTCTCAATCATGACAAAACATATTTGTCTCATTTGCCTCCTCAGCTGAATCAAATCTTTTTGATAGTAGTATAACATGGCTACAAAAATCTGCTTTGGGAAAAGATGTAGGTAAACAGCTAAAGAGGATTACTTTTTCAGCAAATACACTAGAGGTTTCCAATACTTTTTGCAGTCTCTCCAAACAGGCTAAACTCCCAAGCAGTAGGAAGCAAATAGCTTGTGTAGCACAGTAAAACAGTTGTTCTGTGCTGGAGGGGAAGAAAATTAACAATATTTCAGTAAACTTTCTGTTCAGCATATTACGACATTGTGCCATTCTCAGTTTTATTCCAAGTTTGTGTCGAAAGGTGTGTGTCTTAACAAAATAAATGCCAGAGAGGCTGTTCTCATTCAGAAAATACACATTAATATCCAACTTCAATTAACTGTGAAGCAGGAATCTCAGGAATTACAGTAGGTGTGAGGATCTGGTGCCTGCGGAGTTAAAATGCTCTCAGCAGTCACACCCCAAATGTCTTTGGGTTTTGTTTGTTCAAATTACCATGTGAGAGCTTAATGCTTTAGGACAACTGTCAGTGTGTCTGCTCTAGAGGGTGAAATGTGGGACTGATGAGCTCCAGCCAGGGCAGCTGCACTTGGTTTGGGTCCTGTGAGGAGTAAAGCAAATCTCAAATCTGCCCTGCGTCCTGGGCTCGGCTCTCTGCAGAGCTGCCAGCCCTGAGTGGAGAACTGGAGCAGCATTTATAGGATGTGTCTTTTTTCAGACCCCAGGAGCCCTGAAGTGCCCGAGCTGATGCTCCACAGGCCTGCCCCAGCCTTGGAAACCATCCAGCAGCCCCAGTGGAGAGATCAGGAGAGATTAATTTCATCTGCTGCTGGAGTCAAGCACGCTGCCGCAGGGCAAAGCAGCGCTTTTTGACCTCACCCTGGTAAGATCAGAGTGTTCCTGGTACCAGAGCTATTTCAACACAGAGAAAGGCTCCACTGCAGGTTTCAGAGCAGGCTGACTGCTCTTGGCCTTCCTGTGGGTTTGTGGCTGTCCGTGTATCTATCACTCATTGGTAGCACTGAGGGCTCCTGGCAGCGCTGCCAGCAGCAGGGCACAAGGGACAGCCAGCCCTGGGACAGTGCCACACAGCACCGCTCTTGCATGGGGACTCTCCCAGGGATGAGACTTCCAAAGGAATGTGCTGGAAACCCAGCTTGGCCTGATCAAGGAATCACCCTGGGTGAGAAGGGAATTTACTGAAGGGACTGTCCAAATGAGACGGGAAGGCTCTAAGTAGTGTAATATGTTGGTTATTTCCAGCATCCAGGGGATGTGTTATCCCTCAGATAAAAACTAAACCCATAAGAGGGGAAAGTTATTTGGTAAAACCACCACAAACCAGAAAGAGTCACTGCATCTTCAAAAGCAAAACCATTTTCAGCCCATCAAAGAGAAGGATTTTGAATTCTCAGCTATAAATATTCAAAATATTCCACAAAGCACCTTGAAAACCCCTTAGACATGGCCAAAAGCCCAGGTCTTAGAGATATTCTTGTTTCTGTGACATTGGCATCAGTCATTTTTCTACAATTTTCCATAGAAACCTTTGCCTTATCCTCCACAGCTTATGACCTGTGTAAGGTTTCTGAGAAACAATGTCACAAACAGTTTTCCCTGTAGTTTTCCTCCATTTTTACAGGTTATGCTTTAAGGTTTGAATGTGCTGAAGTAGATTTAAAAGGCAATTATTTCTTTCAATGTCTTACAGGTTTTATACCAGGGCTATGATTCCATCAGATATTTCTGCTCATCTCAGTGCCAGTTGTAGCTTACTACAAATGACAGTGTGTCCATCTGAATTCCTGCTGATAGTTACTTAAGAATGCAAAGCAACTAAATTAAACAAGCATCCTTATAATCAAACCCACAATAATTTATATAATTAGCTCTTTTTATCTTTTTTGGTTTTTCATAATAGAACAGCAAAAGACCAGGACTTCTCAGACAGTAAGAAGAATCAAGAACAGAAAACAAGATCAAGTATCTTTGTTTTACCAACAATTTTTAGGCTCAGGGACCAGCAAGTCTGTGGAAAAGTCAATACACAGACTTGTGGGCACCATTATATAATTTCCTGTTGCTTTTCCAAGAATCCCATGATCATTTAATGTGGCACTTGCAGGAAATATATAAAAAGGAGTATTGAAGACAGAACTGCAGCAGTATGATGACATCAATACAAATGCAAATATACACCATCCAGAGATTATTCCAAGAATGCTATTAAAAATAATCAGCTCCATGAATTCTGGGAGCCCAGGATGGGTGTGCCAGAGTACCTCTTTGGGAGGCCACTGCCAGCAGAGAGCAGAAGACACAATCCAATAAATGAGGCCATTCTTTTGAAGGAATGCTAAGTCTGATACATTACCAATACCTGAGGAACCACCCAGATCCTAGGAGGGCAAAGCAATTCTGAAATGAGTACAAAACCACCTGAGGTTCCCAGAGGCCTGGGGAGACCCCCATCTGTTCAGATGCCGCCAGCTCAAAATATTCAGCAAACATTCAGTTTTCCTTTGTGCCAGTTATTCTATGGAGGAACAGCCCAGAACCCTGACACCTTCAGAGTTTTCCTTGCATTTGGGCATTGAGGAATGGCACCTGCATCTCACCCCAGCCCCAGGCAGGGGCTTTTTGTACCAGCCTTTGTAGGAGCCCTTTGTACCAGCCTGGCACTGCAGAAATGCCCAGGACAGCAAAGCAAGAGGGAGGACCAATATTTGCTGCAGTACAGAGCAGCAGAAAGCAGAGTGGAAAATCCAGGCTGTTTTCATCAGGGTTTAATCTACCCCTGTGCTAGCCCAGCTCAAACTGTGTTAGTGTCAGCTGCTACTCTGAGATTTATTAAAAAGGAGTTTTAATGGCTCCTTCAAACAGTATCCTTCGTTTGGAAGAGGAAAGTACAGATTGCTGATATTGTGCCCAAATACACTTAAGACTCTAAAACAGGCTATGGGCAGTCAATTTATTAGAATCAAGTATTAGCAACTTATTTTCAGTCTATGTCAAGCACTCAGTGGAGGAGAAGAGATCCCCCACCAAGTATTCAATTAGTAACAATGATCTCACAATGTATTCCTTCTGCCTGGGACACTCATTACTCATAAAATATTCTGAATACTGGCTGAAAACACTGCTACCAAGTGTGAAAGAAGGCAGTGGGAGAGAATAGGAATAATAACAATAAAAAGAAGGACTTCTGAAATTTATAAAGCAATAAAAAGGAGTCTGAACATTATGAGGTAGAAAGCAGGAGGTGTTAGAGAAATGCCCACATAGGAAAGGCCTCGGGCTTCTTTTCATGGCACCTCTCCCAAAGAGCTTGGAAATCCATAGGTTTTCTTTAGTATGTAGTAACTACATACTCAAATATCACAGGATGGATCAGGTACTGCAGTGCCCACCTTAGTGATTCTCAGAGGAAGGTGAGAAATTTGTGAAGGGCAATTATAGGACAAAGAGAATGGTATCAAAACCTCTGCACAGGAGGAAGAATAGTCCTTTCAGAGTTTTACAATCCACCTGCAAATATACTCTAAACTCTGCCTGGCTCCTCTGACAGCCAGAGGTGTCTGCAGGGTGCACATGTCCAAGAATTCCCCACAGGCCCTAAGCTCAGCTGCTTTCCAAGGATCTCGTTCTGCAAGCCCTTAGAACAAATGTGCAGCGACATCCCACTGCCCTGGCATTTCCCTTCAGCTCTCCCTGCAGCGTGCCACAGTGTGAATCACCTCAAATAAAGTAAATAATGCCGTTTCTCTGATACCTGGTGGCTTTCACCTGATAACTGGAGAGGGCTCTGGCCATCAGGAGTGGAAATGGATTTTCCTTTTGTCTCTGTCGGTGTTACGCCCCAATTTGATTTTTCTGTGTGAGGCAGTCAGGGACTCAAGATGGCAATAGAGAGCTGGAAAACTCATATTCCAGCAAAGAGCTATAAATATCCCTTTTGTTGCTTAATGTGTTGTTATACCACTTGCTAGAGAGGCCTTTAGTGTTAATCTGCCCATCAGTCTCTCAAAAATTCCCATCTAAAATTATCAACAAGTAGTTTGGTCAGTAGAGAATGTTTATTTGCAGTTGCACAACTCTCAGTTTGCAGAATATTATCTGCTTAAAACATAAGCAAACAGCCACAGTCTAGGAAAGCCAGGACTGTGAAAATTAATTCATAACCTTATTTTGCAGTAAATTTAGTGTTAGAAGATTTAGCAACATTTAGCATACTTCAGATATATCATATGCCTTATGGGCAAATATAGTTTTTTTTTGTTTTTTTTTTCAATGGCTATCAGAAATACGTATGATTTTAGAAAGCAAGTGTGTGTTTTTGCAAAGAGGTTTCTAGTTCCCTGTGTGTGGAACCTCCCTACAGTACAACCTGGATGCAGGGTTTCTGGCTTGGCCTTGAGAATGCTGTGCAGAGCTGCTCTGTGCTCCCTGCCAGCTGCTGCCTTCCATCCCAGAGGTGGCAGCCTGGAAATGATGAATGAACTAATTCATACAGTCTGCAGCTGAGTGTCAGAGATATACCTAATACACATTACACATGTCTGCATATAAGGACACAAACTAAATTTGGGTTACTAGCACTGAAAAGCCAAGGAATTGTACAATTATCACTTACCAACATTTCCCATGTTAAATACATCCAAAAAAAATGTAACATTTTCTACAAGATTATCCTTAATCAGGCTTTGTTCCTTGAAGATCTTGTAACAGTTTACCTCTTTCAGCCTAAGTGACTCTGTGTGCTGTGTGAGGGGCTGGGCCAGAGCTGATAAGGGTTTATCCCTTCACTTCTGTGGACTTCACATCAAGCCTACTGCCCCTGCTGGGAGACAAAAAAAAAAAAAAAAAAAATGTTTTTTTAAATAGAAAAGGCTAATTTATGCCTAAACTGCTGTTTCTGATCAGAGTAAACGTTGAAAGCTTTAAAGCTTTAAAGCTGATTACAAATTAAAATATCTGTGTCCCCAAATGCTTGCCTAACTTCAAACAATTGGCTGCTGAGCAGGAGCTGCAGGGACAGGTGTGCTGAGAGCTGACACCTAATTCAAGATCAGAAGAGGGCACTAGGGCTTAAGTTATATTCAGCATAATCCCAGACAAAGAGAGAGGGGGGGAAAAACCAGTGAAAAGTGTCAGAACGTTTCTTTTGTTATTCTACTGCTTCTCTCTCATAAAGTGAGAAAACAGGCGGGGCTGGAGGCCCATGGGACCAGGATCTGTGGCAGCTCCAGCGCAGCTCAAGGGGCAATTTCTGTCTCAAACATTTACAGCAGAGCTGCCAGACTGCGGGACCTCACTGTCCCACCCCACCCTGCTAGGGTCACTTTGCCTGTTGCTCCTCATGGGCTCTGTGCAGGCAGCAGAGGCAAAGCCACCAGGGTGGCAGCTGCTCACAGGGACAGAGAGCTGCACATCCACCCTGCAGAGCACCAGGGAGGGTCAGGAGATGCCCCTCACACAGCAGATTTTACACTGCAGCTTAACAGTGATAAAAAAAGCCACACGCGCCCCAACAAAAAACAAACAAACAAACAAAAAAAAAAAAAAACCCAAAAACCAAAAAAAAAAAACCCAAAAAAAACAAAAACAAAACCCAAAAAAACCCCCCCATAAAAACAACAACAAAAAAAAACCAAACAAACAAAAAAAAAAAAAAAAAAAAAAAAAAAAACCAAAACCCTTTGTGTCTTGTTCTCCCCAGAGCCATGAAATAAAATAATTCATTATGATTGTTACTAGCTGTTAAAGATGATGTGGTGTTTTGAAGCAGCACAAGATGAATTTTCATCACACAGGACCTTGCCCCAGATTGTGCATGTCCTGTGCTCAGGGGTGCAGTCAGGGTGCTGTGGGAACCACACAACACATGCAGTTTATATCAGCCAGCTCAGCTGTTTTATCTCCCTCTGCTGCCATTGCAGGGAGGATTACCTGGACAAAGAGAACCCAAGGTTTCTCTGAAATGCCTTCTGTGTGAATATTTTCCTCCCCTTTGGCTCTAAAGAGGATTTAGGAGGAACTGCGTCCCACAGTAGTTAAAATGGACATGTGGATATCCACTATGTATCAATAAATCCATGTCAATTTGAGTTGCAAGACATACAGACAGCTGTACCAGTTGAAGCCAAATTATCTTGTGTGATAAAAGATAAACACAGAAGACTGTAACAGGAGAGTAATCAATACTTCCCCCGGTGTCCTCTCCCAAGTCCCAGCAATTTCTGGCTCAGGGACTTCAATTCAGATGTTGTCTTTTTTAAATATCACTTGATATTTAGGTATTTAGATTTTTCATGTATGGATTTCCTCTACCTTCCTTTAGAGATGTAAGAAAGACCCAGGAGGAAATACAGTGAATTAATTTTCCTGACATTGGTTTCTGCTGTCACCAAAAAGAGCAGCCCCAGGATTCATCCTTACCCCACACAGAAGTCAGCCCATGCAAGGCTGCTGAGGGACAGACTGTTGGCTACCACTGGCTTGGAGACATGAGATTTGTGTCCCTTCCTTAGTGCTGAATATAAAACTCATCTGAACATCCCTCCTGAAAGCCCATATCCACCTAAATCACCCTATTGGGAACATTTGGCTTTAAGCTTCCAGGACGTGGAAAAATCAGAGGCCACAAAGCCCTTTCAGAGAAGAGGGAAAAAACCTTTAAAAAGAAGAACATTTAACACAATCACTGCTTAAAAATACATTTAACCTCTTATTAAAATGGAAAAGTCAATTACAGCATCCAGATTGGGATTGTAGAATTTGCAAAAGCAGGAGGACAGAGATGGATGGGTAGCAGCCTTCAGAGCACAGACAGCTGCCCTAAAACCAGTGCAGGACCTCTGCATTTTATCCTTCCTACTGGCCTTAACTGTAACATATATTGAAATATTGAAGGATTCATTTACCAGGAAATTTGCATCCTTAAAACTTTTTCTGTCAATTCTGTAAAAGAATTATTGGATTCTATGCACTAAAGTACCTGAATAATGTACATGAGTTTTCAATATAGCTTGTATTATTGTTAGGTTGCAATATATGCACATGTAAACAATGTAAACAAAATATTTAAGAGGCATCTCACAGTGAGCAACAAATTATGCATCAAGTATTTATTATCTAGTATATTCCTCTGTAGGCTGGAGGGAAAAAAATTGGCTTATGCATAGAAAAAAAGATATTCTGAATCCACTGAGAATAATTCAAATTGCATTTTATAAGAAGAAATTATGGGTACAAGAGACCATCTGTCTTTGGTTTTTTAAATGGTGCCTTTCAAAATGCAAGATCCCTAGCCTAAGTCTGTTTTCTATTTAAAAAATAATTATTGTGTTTTACTAAAAATTGAGTGAGGAAAAGCTGGACTCCTCATGCTTCTTCTAAGATAGACAGGAACAGAAGGGGACTGGCGTGTTTGTGTGTAAATCAGGAGCAACTTTATCAAATAAATTATTAATTTGGGTAGAATGCAGAAAAAAAATTAAAAATCAGAGAAGAAAACATTTGTATTTCTGAAGCAGCCCATGTTACAGCACCTCCCCACAGCCTGACCCTGGCAAAGCTCATCAGTGTGGCTTCCCAATGTGTTTGAGGGTAGCAGGTCTCTGTAACTAAAGTCAAATTTTCTAAGATGACTTGATATTGCTCTGGCCTCTCCCTTTGACCAAGACTTTTAAATCTTATTCTGCAGCTTTGAGATCACCTTGCCAACTCAGACAAGTGTCTCTCCTGGTCCAGTGAGGAGGTGCTAACGCTTCTCTTCCCAAACCTCAGAAAAAGATACATGGCTGTAGCACAAATATCAGCAGGCGAAGAATCCACACGGACCTGAGGGGAAAGGGATGGAAAGTCTGAATTACAGGGAGGAAAAGCTGCTGTACATGCTGTGCAAGGGGCTTTCCCAGGAGACCTAGGCAGCCTCTGCTCTTCACCTAGTGTAAACGTGTATGGATGCTGAATATTAATTACAATCAACAACAGAACATGTGGAATTTCTAAAATATAAATTTGGTTCACGTGAAAGTCCTTGTTAGAACTTTTCTTACCTCCTTGTAATTGAATCATGACCCCACTGAGGTTTCCTTGACTGCTATCCAAAGTTGGCCATCACTTCTCTCCAAAACAATCTCCTTTTGGCTGTTTTTGCTTTTCAAACTCAAACTCAAACAGAGAGAAGAAATGAAAAATTCAGAGAATTATCAAAGAAACACAAACAGTGTTGCCTTTCATCTAGTGCATGCCATGCTTACAGCACACTTGCCATATTTATCTGAGGACCAAAATAAGAGCCCATATCTAGCCAGATTGTCCTTGATGTCAGTGCTCTCACCTCAGAATTAGTCAGGTCACATGAACACATCAATGAAATAAATTGTCTTACTGGAGAATTGGTTTTTCACATGCAGAGTCACAGTCATGACAGCAGAGTCTGATTGCATGGATTAAAGGTTTGATCTCCCACAGAGATCTAAAAAGGCAGCAACACCCACCAGAAATTTACTACAGTTATGATTCAGGATCTTGCCACCAACGTCTTGGAATGTCTGGATATTTTAGCAGAGACATTCCAGGGGGCATACACTGTCAGAAATATCCAAAGGGTTTCCACTAGCTAAGAAAAAGGAAGAAAATACTTAAGGAGGATATATTCCTGACTGCAGTCAAAACTACACTTGTGTAATTCTTAAAATTTTGAAATTGGTCTCCCTGTTCCACCATTGTAAGGCTGGCCAGGAGAGAAGGATTCTTGATGGCTCTTAAGGAGAAATGGAAGTTGAACTTGAAATGAAGCAGCTAATTTATGGCTAATGGCTGCTAATGATGGCAGCAAAATTGTGTGTTTATTGCAAACATTTAAAACTTCGGGGGCAGACATTTACAAAGGTGAGAGTCAACAGTGCCTTCATAAAGCTGGAAAGTAAAAAGACATAAATGAGTATTAATATTATGTTTAAAAGGGAAAAAACCAAAGTCATACTAATGCAGATGTAGAATAAGAAACACAGCAATTGAAAAAAATAATTACGATTAAAAGTGCGGCAGTTTAGTGGGATTGATTTGCTCTTTGAAAGTCAATAATAAAAAATCACTGCTTTGAAAAGGAAGGACAGGTTCACTGAAAGGCAAGTGTTCACTGAAAGGCAAATGCTCATTACTTTTATTTTAAAAAGCATAAAAAATAATGAGGAAAAGTTGAAAGCTAGGGGTGTATTTTGGGGGAATATGTCTTACCCTAGACATTAAATAGGAATAAAGACCACATGCTTTCAAATTAGGACTTTTAGAGACATGAGATACATATTATATATCTCTTGGAAAAGGGACAGTGATTTTATAGATCTTCCTTTAAATTTAGATCTTTGGTATTTTCAAGTATTGAATATACCATCAGGAAAGGTTAGAAGCAATGTGCCAGCTTCACTAATATCATCCATTTCTATCTGATCAAGCCAGTAACAGATTGGACACAGATTGATCAGGATAAATTTGTATGGAGTTCAGCTCTCCCTGGAAGAAAGCACTACGTGAAGTTAAACATGGTTTCATGGTATTGGGAAAAAATTATGAAAACAGAACAGAAAAGCAGAGAAATGCCTTGAGACAGTCAGAACTTGTAAATGAAGGAAGTGATAGAAATGGTGCAGGAATTGCCCTAACACCTAGCACTGAACATTTTGGGCACACTGCTCCCACTTCTGGATTGATTGCTGGACATGGACCCATCATTATTGCCCAGGGAATCATCCCAGCCCTTAATAATGTCAGCAAAGGAGACATGAGGGCAGGACATGTTCCTTTGGG